AGGCAGCTACTAAGAATTTCTTGATAGAAAACCTCAAGAACGGATTCTTTTTGGCCCCCCTGGGATTTGAACCCGAGACCTCGCGATCAGCAGTCGCGTTTTAGACCACTAGACCAACGAGGCGATGTTAATATTTAATTGTAGCCATAAATAAGCACATTTGAAAACTATATATCTTTATAAATTTAAATAAGCACTGTATAAACATATGTTTAGATTAATACATTTTTAGCAATGTAAGACACATAATTTTCTGATAAGATACCAATATCAACTAATGTATAGCAAATAATAGGCATTATCGATACCGATGCCCTATATAGGAATTTTTACGAGATTGCCAAAAGGTAATGTTTTTCAGATTTTTAAATATGTCTGTCTATATTATGCAAAAAATGGCAATGATGTTTTATAGATAACGATATTTATTTCAGAATTGTTATGGGAAACCGAACGTCAAAAGTGTAAGAAAAGGAGTGTTGCATTAATTTTTATTCATTTATTATTTATTAAAAAATTGTTATTAATTTTTATTATAATTTAGTTATATAATGTATATTTGCAGTTCACATTTTTATTGAAAAAATTTCTTGGAAAATAGACAAAGGCTCAGTAAACGGCATTGATGTTAGCACGCAAGGTTCTCCTGCCATTTTAAGAATTTCTCACAAAAAAATTCAATGCTTAGCAAACGGCACGTTGCTAGCATGCGCGAATCTCTCGCCGCGCCGTCGGGTTCGTGCCTGCCACGGAACGACTGCGTGTCCGATCCCTATATATCGATATCGGATTGGTGCAGTTATAAAATTACATTGTAAGGATATTAACTAATTCAATATTTATAAAAAAGGATATTTAGGAAAAAGGAAATCAAAAAATCTAGACCCCATATACTTGTGCTGTGGTAGAGTTATTAATATATTTTACTAGCTTGCCGGGCAGACGTTGTTCTGCCGTTTTCGACTACCCTTTGTCATGTCCTATTAAAAATCCTTAAATTCGCAAAAAATATTGTGAGTCACGGGCAAAAAAACTATCCTATCTCTCAAGTTGGACCAAACTGCACACGGTGTGCAAATTTGATTAAAATCAGTTAAGTAGTTTAGGAGTCCATCGCGGACAAACAACGTGACACGTAATTTGTAAATATTAAGATATATATACACACACACACACACACACACACATATATATATATATATATATATATATATATATATATATATATTTATGTGTATTGAATTTTCGAGCCAATTACACTTTGTTCTCTAGCCCAAAATTCACATTTGTACAAAACTGATAGAAAGAGAGCTTGCCACTTTTGGAAAAAATATTTATAAAGCTATTCAATATGTTTGGAAGAATTGATGAAAGAGATTGGATGTTATAGAAAAGCATATCATAAAAGCAGGTGAAGTAAAAAAGGGACTTAAAGCGCTGCGAGAAGTCACTAAGGAATAGATCCCTGAAATAAAAAATAGAATAAAGCTTATAATAAATAGGGTGTGTCAAAAGCTTTACTTATCTGCACGCGGTTTAAATTTTTGATTGACACAGATGAAGCTGTGGTGGCCAACTGATGATGGGAAATTAATCGTAATTAATAAGATTTGACAGACTCGTGATGGGTAATAAATAACATTACATGCATTCATCAACCATGAATACACGAATTTTTTTGAGATGATATAATAAAATAATTCTTCTACATACCTAAGTTACACGACTTTTTTAACTTTTCAAGTTTACGAAGTCGCAAAAGTTAAGTTTGTCAAAGCGTATTCAGTATATCCAGAAAATACCGTGTGTCACTGAATTTATTAAATATTTATAATAAATTTCAAATCTAAATTATAATAATTGCGTTATTATATAAAAAATTATCTAACATGCCGATGAGAAATGTATATATAAATATTTATATGAATATTTATTAAAGTAACATAAGGAAGTATGGATTTGTGCTAGTAAGACTGTGCTGAGTAACATCTATACATATGACGTCATTTAGATTTTCAAATTTATTTTATCAAAATTTTGTAATCTGAAAGAAAAAGTACTGTGAGTTTTTTTTCTAGAAGAACCGCATAAATTTCGATGTAATCAAAAGTGTTCTCATTGATACGCATTATACTTAATATTGTATGTCAATGACAGATTGTGCTCTTCGATTATCTGTACATTTTGCCGAAAAGTGTTATAGTGATAATGATAACGATGTTTTATTTATACTCATACTGATCCTTTTACTATACATATAAGGATGTTTCTATTATTTTCTATCGACACATAATATAAGTTTATGCCATTGTATTGTTTTATCGCGACACTAGCACACTAGGTACTAGTAAGACTTCTTAAAAGCCTATATATATATATATATATATATATATATATATATATATATATATATATATATATATGTATATATATATATATATATATTTAGCCGCGTGGGCCACTCTCTTTCCTATTTCTACCGCAAAGCTGCAGGGCGTGCACTGTAGTGTTCTTGTCTGAAATGTACAGAGTGTTAAAAACAGTTTAAAGATATGATGATTCCTGTTTCAAAGTCTGTTCCTCGTGTCTATGGACTACAGAAGAACCACTTACTATTGGGTGTAGTATAAGTTCGTTCCTCAATTAATTTTTAGAGACAAAAATATAATAATAGCTAATAGCACTTTCAAGGCAACCCTGTGTCACAATAATAACTAGTGAGTTAATGAATAAATAAAATACCAATATAAATGTTTTGTAATTGTGTATACTTTACTTTGTACTTGTATCATTACATTGGTGACGTAAGAGGCGATAGGGTAAAAATCAGAAACAGATGGGCAGCAGCACCTAGCCGATAACCACAGAAAACTATAAAATTTTGCGGCTATCCACCAGCCAGCCGAGTGTGACAATCTGGTTGTGTTGCAGAATCCCCCCAATAAGATAGTCTGTGTGGGGAGGGGGTGGCCTATGTTCGGAAATGGGCTTTTGGTAGACTGTAATGAATTAATTCTTCTCATCAGGCACTAAACAAACCAACTGCCGAGCGGTTATCATCTAACGCTCACTAGATGTCGCTAGATGGGACTGAGGTGAACTTACTTATTACACAGATAGACACACAGTGCCATCATTATTGAATAGTTGCATTTTAATATAAGTTTTACGATTTCTAGTGTATATATATATATATATATATATATATATGTTCTTCACTTATTTTACTTTTTTCCAATTATTCTACTTTCAGGAATACCCGTAGTTTGGTTTATCCATTTCTAATCTAATGAATATAAAATATAACTAATATTTCAGAGAGAAACTTACAAATTAACTTTCCCCGCTACGTAATCTGTCAAAAATTTCACCCCATTCCCAGGTAGTACATTCCTGGTGGCAGGAGAAGTCGTGAGTGCTCTCATTGGCACAGTATGGCAGGCTCCTGCAATTTTAACGCTGCCCTTCTGCGCCAGTCTGGGCTGTGTCAATCCCAGATGTTTATATACCATCTCATCAGAAGTATCACCATCTATCCGAGCCCACAAGATCTTGGCATTCCCTTAAATCGTCTCTTAGGTCTCGTTAAGAGATGAGATAAATTCACGGTTCCTCTTATGTCTGCGATGTTCCGACTGTTGTCTAAACAAAGATCTGTGCGGGTCAAATCGACCTTTGCTAATTAGTCGTTCGTTAGATTTCGAGGCGTGCAGAAGCTTAATTACAATTACTACGCAAATTACAAACGAAGTACGTCAAACGACGTCATAAAAGAAACTGAATAAAGTGAGGCCAATACCTAGTAATATAAAAACCAGCTTGACTTGCTTGCTGAGTTGTCAATTAAATGTAAATGTGTTGGTTTTCTTTACAAATTACGATCACGACACGATTTTTTTTCTTGATTTCTAAATTAATTGATTCACGATAACCCTTAAACATTGCTTTGCTATGAAGAACTGCCTTCTCATAGCTTGTACTGATTTTAATCTACAATTTTGTTTGAAGTAACTCCGTCAATAATTTATGTACAATATAAATAATAGTTATTTACGCTACGGCACAAAGATTTTTCTCTTACTTTTAACCGTTCGCCCATTACAGACTATAAAACTCCACTGCTGGACATAAAATGAATATAGAACTCCCGCCATTCCCATGTGTTTATTTTACACATCATTTTATTTTATAACGCGGATCTTAGCTTATTAATTTTTAACATCTTTAGTGAAAACTTGATTTGTTTCTCTTTGCCGGCTCTTGCGACATCCACGGGACGAATGCAACTTATAAGCCTATTTGATGGACTTCTTTAGCAAGCCACAAAAATACGAGAAAAATAATGTCCGTAGTTAGTATTTGGTTAATGTACTTGAACAATAAACAAACCTCCGCAATAAATTGATTATGTATGTAAAATGTCAACTTACGTCCTATTTTTACCTTTATATGTATAACTCATCAGTAAACAATACAACGTCTTCATTAGTAGCTGTTAAAAAGTTATGAAAATTGACTATTCTCAAGAAAACAAAATTTAATTTGTACATGCAGGCATATCATTTATGTTTATAGCAAAGACATAAAAGCGACACAATTTAGGTTTATTTATTTACATACAGAATTATACAATTCCATGATTTTTTATTTTCGTTTAAAACTATTATGTGTATCTTCGAAATATAAAAACTTGACTGAACTTGACTGTGTACTGTTTTCAAAGTATAATAATTTTTTAAGTAAAGATATTTAATTGTTATTTATATTGGAATATTCAATAAAATGTGCGTTATTCCGCGTGGAATATATACGTTAATGAAGATTATGACGTGTTTTGATAATAAAACGCTATGAGAGTAATACGGTCGTTGAGTTTTATCAAAATAAAATATCAGTTATCTATTTGTCGCCTGAAAGTGATGTAGGCCGCACGCCTACTGCAAAATTTAACAACCGATTTATTCGATTTAAAAAAAAAATACCGTCGTTAAGTGATCATAATGGGTAGTAGGAAAACTGAAAATGTTAAAAATAAGAACAAGCAAGTGAAAAAATCGCCTCGAATTAAGGAAGCACCTGGTGTTTTAGCGCGATTATCGTTTTTTTGGACTTTTCCATATTTTTACTATGGAAATCGACGGGATTTGGAAGAATACGACTTAGTACGTGCTACGTCTAAGTACAACTCAAAATTAGTGGGCGACAATTTAGAAAGGCAAGTGTTTATTTTCTTTTCATAGCGCAAAACAGAAATTAATTCTAAGATTTTAGTCCCGATTATTATTTTAATAAATAAAAATCTAGATTGAAAATGTGTTATTGAATATAGCTAGTAGCATTATTTTAATTGAAACTTAATTTGTTTATTTTAATTTTTAATAAAAGATTTTAACAGTACTAATACCCCCGGTAACCACTCCAACTAAGCTAAAATGGTGTTAGGCTTATGACAGTTGTTGAATAGTGGATTTGAACCTACGACTTTTCAATTTCGCAGTACGTGTTAGACTGTCGCTATATATATCAATAATAATGCGGATTAGCTTGTTTTGCTAGTTACCTTTTTTAATGTGTGACATTTTAGTCAGGCATCTATGTTAATAGTTATTCACTCAATGCTACCGAGATAACATCGTGTGTCATATGACATATTTTATACACAGTAAGACACTTAGTTTTTTTTATAGGATAAGGGTGACAAACGAGCACATAGTCCACCTGATGGTAAGTGGACGCTGTGGCTCATAGACATCTACATTTAACCTCGCTTATGAATCAAAATGCAGATTCGTTGTCACCCTTGAGGACTAAGATGGAATACCTCGATTCCAGTAAAACGGGTCTCCGGTTCTCTACACTCACCATACGAAACACAGCAGCATTAAGCTGCTATTTAACGCTGGTATTCTGTGAGGGCGTGGTTGAGTGAATGTAGTTGCATGTTGCATCCCGATGTAACGTGGTAGAGCCACGCTGCCGCTAGATTATAGTTGTAGCACGAATGGTCAGCTAGAACGGGGTAAGACCACGCTCTTACGGAATACCAGCGTAAAATAGCAGCTTGATGCTGCTGTGTTTCGTATGGTGAGTGTAGAGAACCGGAGGCCTTTTTTTACTAGAAGGAGGCATTCCGTCTTAGTCCTCATGGGTGACGTAACGTATATGCATTTTGAATTTTAAACGATAATAAATGTAGATATGTATGGGCCTCGGCATCTATTTACCATCAGGTGGACTGTATGCTCGTTAGTAACCCATATGTTCTTGCGCACCTGTAACACCGGCTCCCGTAAAATGCCATATTTTAAATTCGGATAAGTGCACACAATTATTCTTGCATTCGAACTTTGCATTGGGTTGTAAAACTTAAATCAATTAAACAAACAAAACAAAACTGAAACAAATGTAATGTGTTAATGTTGATTCAAAATATTACTGATAACAAAAAATCATATTAATAACTTAATTGTATAACATTACAACTACACAATACCACCCATTCCTACGTTGTGTAAAGAGTCTGGAATATCTTTGTCCTTTTATCGTAAATGTTAAAGGAAAAAAGGAATATCAGATAGAATCAGCACATGAATTGTATAGTTTTGGAAAAGGTGGTTTATTTTTTTTTTGTTTAAACCTGAACTTGGGCTGTAAGCTATATAAATATTTGGTTTTGTTTCTCATTTAGGTTTGCAAGTACCGGCTGAATAAATAAAAAAAATATTCGATGGGAATGCTGAATAGATTGTAAAATGATTGTAAGAATTATATTTAAATTGCTTTTACGACTCTATTATTTTATAATATATCTCTTAAACATTTAATGCAAAATCAATTTTATACATTTTTTGCTTCAAAATGATTTTACAACAAAACAATGAGTGTTAAATAATATGAAGATTAGACCTTTTTTACATGAAATTAATAAATTAAATTATTTTCCATATTGAACATAGTTTTTAAGATAATAACAAAAACGGATTTAAAGTGGTTTTACGACGTTTAAACTACTACTGCGGTGGTGTTTAGTTGTAGATTTTATACGTGGTGGAGCCATGCTGCAGTTATATTAGTAGTATAGTTGTAGCACGAATGGGTCGCCTCGACCGGGGAAGGACCACGCTCTCACAGAATACCAGCGTAAAATAGTAGCTTAATACTGCTCTGTTTCGTATGGTGAGTGTGGAGAACCGGAGACCCTTTTTACTGGAAACGAAGCATTCCATCTTAGTCCTCACGGGTGACAACGCATCTGCATTTTGATTCGTAATGGAGGATAGATGTAGATGTCTATGGGTTACAGCAACCACTTACCATTAGGTGGAATGCATGTGCTCCTTTGTCGCCCTATCCTATATAAAAAAATAGATTTGCGGGTTTTTTGATTAAAGTATAAGTGGGATAACGTAAAGCTCTTTAAATAAACCTAAAACATTTTCACCTATGCAATATAGTTCATCTGCGTTTTATGTTTATTTTTAAATAGGGCTCTGTGTTAAAAAAATCTCATATTAAGTAATAATAATAAACATTTGACGACAGTGCTGCTGAATACTTATTCGTACAGCATACAGACACATGAATCGAAGAAAATCGTAGGTGAAAAGACACTATTTTGTGATCTTATAACCACTTGATCAATAAAAAAGACGTACCAAATTGTATTTTTAGATTTTTTTATTGTTTATAGTAAAAAAGTTGTTTTCTGCCCCCTTTTTTTTAAGGGAAGTGGGGGAAAGGAGGTAAGAGGAAAAGAAGGTAATTTTTTGCGGGGGATAAAGGAAAGGGGGTTTTGGGGATGGGGTGGTTTTTGGGTTGGGTTTGGGTTGTGGTTGGGGGGTTGGTGTTGGGCGCTGGGGGGACCCCGCTCGTTTCTCAATATATTGTGTGTATTTTAATTGCATGTTTTTCACTAAAATACAAAGAATCGTTTCTGAAATAATAGTATATTTATTGTTTAAACGTTTATACGTATACAATACGTATATAATAACGTTTAAAAAGTTTGCAGCATTTTCCCGTTGATGCAAAAATTTTGTATGAAATAATACTGTAAGGAGTATTACGATATTCTAAAAAACGCTTTTGGCAACCGTATCAGGATATATCAATCACTACGTTTAAAGGGCGAGACTTCCTTAGTAAAAGTAAATGTATGATAGGGTGCCAAACTACTCTACCAACATCAAGATATGACATTATATTTTTGACAAACAGTGTTGACAACATAGGCAAATTAAAATAGTGCTGTAAATTTCTATCATCGAATAATTTCACTATAAATAAAAGTTGTTGCGTGGGATTGAGTAAAATTTCCGATGAGGATAAGAAATCAATGTATTTTAACATAGGAACTTTGTAATTATATCTATACAATTATTAGGTACAAAATATGTATATTAAACATAAAATAAACAACGTACAACGTAATATAATACATGTAAAAAAATAAATGACGACTCCGTAGCGCAGTGGCTAAGCGTTTGGCTGCGGCACTGCAGGATCGAGGGTTCGTTCCCGCTGAAGTGTTTCTATGCTGTAAATTAAATAGCCTGCGTCTGAATGCTTGTTTTTAAAAATTAGTTTTTTAAATTATAAAATATTGTTATTTTTTAACACTAATTGGATTAATTTGCTTTTAAGAGTCACAAATACTATGTTGTGCAAATCGCTAGGCTTCTTCACAGAGATAGATACTGCCCACAGAGATCGTTTATTGATAGTCGCTTTCAAAATTAGTGCTCATTTATAGCGAATGTTTGTGAATAAATCTATTAAAACAAGTAATTACTTATTAAAAATTCGAGTCTAGTTATATAATCGAATCCTTACCAAAATATGACTATACAGTGATATTATCTTTTGTTAAATGTAAAGGAAATATAAATAACATACACATAATTATGGAAACCTCAAGTTCACTGAGGAATAATAGTTTGTTTTAGTTGGGTTTGAATCCTCGAATTTGCAATATTTGCCACAAATGTGTTTTGACATGTGAAGCTTTTCAGGTGGTACAGCTGCCATGTCTTTATTCCCTACTAATTTATGTCTATGCATGTATATGTATTGTTACGCGCTAAAATCGACGCACTAGCGCCATCTAGTCTCGAACCAAAGAACTAAACTTCTTGAAGTTTAAAACTCGAACTCTCGGTACCTTGCGCGTGTTTACTAGAACATTCTGGATATTTCTTTGCTAATTTAAATATATAGGCGCTGCAAGATGCGATGGAAGTGTTGTTGATTTGGCGAAACAAGCGAAGCTTCGGAGCGGAATTAAGTGAATTAGTGTGTTTAATCATTAGTGTTTTAAGTTTTAATTTGTGTAAAGTAAATTAAATTGTTAATTTAGGTAATTTTATCGGCAATTTTTATTGTCACGAACCCTAAGCTCGTAACAATTGGTGTCAGAAGTGGGACTAAATCATGCCGATTTTACCTAAGGAGGAAACGGAGGGTGTTCGTACCCGCAGTCAACGCCAGCATGAGACGGACCAGAGGAGATTAGGTGGTGCAACGCCGCAGACGTCGGAGGGCCAACTGCCAGCCACGGAGACTGCGGGCCCGTCAGTAGCTCCTACATCTGCAGTACCTGACTTAGGTGCTCTGATGGCGATGCTACAGGAGCAGCTGCAGCGCGGACGAGAGGAACAGGCCCGTCTGTTGAAAGAGCAGCTGCAGAGCGGACAGGAGGAACAGGCCCGTCGCTTAGAAGAGCAGCTCAAACGCGATAGGGAAGAGCAGATGCTTCTCATGAAGGACCTTCACGCTACCTTCGGGAAAGAGATAAGGGAGGTGAAGGATAAGGTTGCTCAACATGATAACCGCCTGTCGGAAGCTGAGACCCAAATCAACCAAGTTAAGAAAACGCTGGATGAACTCAAACTTGGGGATGGAACCACAGCTCCCGTAGTAGCTTCAGCACCTTCGCTACGTGGGTTCAAGGTGCCACCGTTTGACGGGACTTCTTCCTGGTCAGCCTACAAAATCCAGTTCGAGGCTGTTATGAAGGCGAACGGCTGGATAGTCAGGCCATGACTGCTCTCACACTAGGCCTGCGCGACCAGGCCTTAACAGTTCTGGAAGCTCTCGGTGAGGAAGTGACTTATGAGCAACTCCTTGAGGCATTGGAGGCGAGATATGGTGACGCTCACCTGGAACACGTCTTTCGTGCGCAGCTTAAAGATCGTGTGCAGCGCATCAACGAAAACC